CGACAAAAGTAACTTCTTTTATGCCAAGTTATTTAATGATGTCAGCAGACATTACTACAAACCTTGGAACAAAAGGGTGGCAAGCTTAAGGCACAATTATTTCAACACTCCATGGGCTTTGATCTCCTTTCTTGCAGCATCTTTCTTGCTTCTACTTACCGTACTGCAAACAACATTCACAATTTTCCCTTGTTCTTGAAAGTGCCTCAAATCTTTAATATGGAGGGAACAACGTCGATCAGCGGATTGCATTGGGGTGCGTGAGAAGTGCAGGGTGTTAGGGTGCATGCATAGACTAGTTTGAAATGTTTTCATACATATCCTTTTGTGGCTTGCTTTAGTTAATAAGTGCGTATCTACTTTAGTGCCATGTTTTTCTTTCTCTGTTTGGTTGGGTTCCTTTGGACTTCTAAATTATAATGTACTTTTTCTGTATAAGATCTACTAAATAAAAACTATTTAATATTTTTAGAAAATCTTTAAACTTCACATGAATTATATTAAACTGGACTGGTCAAAACCATATGAAAAAAAACTTCCATACAAAGAGACTCCAAACTTATCCTTAAAATATAATGAAAACTGTTCTCCATAATAGGTATTACTACAACTTTACATGTACCTCAAAGCATACTAACCTAAACACCAAGCTCCTTCAACACTTCCCTCACATCTGTAATGCCCCTCTACTTACCGAGGGCATAAGCCATAGCTTCACGTCCATAAAAATATCGAGTTCAATATATATAACATAGAATGGTTGGGTTGTGGAACAAAAGCAAGTATGCATTAATCACCCCTAGGATAATTTGCTAGTAAGGTTAAGTTGAAACTCTCAAAATTTCGAAATAATAGATCTTTCAATTATATCTACATTAATCACCTCTAGGGATTCAAGGATTATTAAAGAACGTTTTTACTGATAGCATGGAGGTGTATGTCTAAATGGAGATGGTAAAGGTCCAAGGCAGCAAAATTGTAATCTTTCCGTGGATTCTTAAATTATCTCTGAGGACTTTTCTTCGTTTCCTGGCTTACCACACTCAGAGGGTTTTCTCTATTTGCTGCTACTATCATCCTTGTTCTGTGCTTGGAAAACTTACTTCCCCTTTTCAGTTCCACCTAAACTTGATGCTGTCTACATGACATGGAGGTACAACACCTTTTTTGTTTTACCCATCTAGGTTGCAGCAAAACTCTCGGATGGTGCCGCCGTTCAGCTTTATCAAAGCTCCCCAGATAGGTGTTATGTATTCATACTATATGGTATGTTTAGTGTTGACCTTGTCTGTTTTGTTTATATTTCAATACGTAGAACTGGCCTGCACTACTGCTTAGCTCAAAATTTATTGCCAATTACACTCAAAACAGACAAAATTAACTCATTACATCAGTAAAATCAACTCA